AGGAAGGAGAATAAAGAAAAAGAAAGGAAGGAAGAAAACAATCTTCCTATTGTACCACTGAAACAAGTTGTAGTTTGGATACAGAAAGGACCAGTGTATGACTGTATAGACTAATCAAAGACCAAAGAAGATGGAAACTCAAATCCTTGGCCATTTCTGACAGTTGCATACATGGCTGACAGGCACATTACCAGTGCTGGGGGATTCTCTTCCCAAGCCATTCTCCCTTAGGTGTTTATGAAAGTAACAATAATGTGGTCATGGGGAACAATATTGTATAAGAATGAGGAAGGAAAGGTGGAGGTGGGAACACAAGAGAAGTTAAATGAGAAACAGAGGTGGAGATGGAAGGATGTGTCCAGCATCACATGGGTAGCTCAGGGGACAAAATGCAACCTCTTTAGTGCAACCTCTGCACAAAACACCACGAAGCAGCACTGCTATTAATCAACAGATCAACAGTTAACGTTTTTAGCATAATGAGAGCCTGTCTCACATTAGCAAATGACATTTAGGATAACAAAAAGTTCTTAATATTGATGTATTAATAAAAGATATTAGAGATATTTTACAAGACTTGGTATTAGTTTAATCAAAAGTCTCTAGTTTAATTATGAGTCTTGTGACTCTTCCTGCAAGGTTAATGGAAACCTTGTCTAAATATAAGGAACACAAACTAATCATTCTGACATTTTGAAGGGTTCCACAAACCACCATTGGCTCTGAAAAAAAAAAAAAMCTCTTTAAAAAGTCAGGGGAAAAAATTATTTCAGATCAATATAGATTTCATCTTCTGAGTCTTTCAATAGGGAAGTACCGAGCATTTTATTTAGAGATGGAAACAAGCTTACAACAGAGACAGGAAACCATTGAAAATTATTGGTTCATTAAATCTGAATACCTCTCAGGTTGAATGCTTTCTTGTACAAAATCTCCCCCATGGCCTTGGAGGGCTGTGCCTGGAGCCCCATTTTTAAAAGCCAGTAGATCCAAACCTTGAGACTAGTTAACACAGGTACTATCTATCATAAATGCAGGAGCGCAAACAACACCCCACRTAGTTCAATAGGGGAGGGTCATTTTCCATGACTTCCTCGGAAGTCCATCGGCACTTCTGGGTCACATGACTTTCAAGTCAAGCTGTTTAAGACCTCAGAGGCTCCAACAACTAGACATTATTCTCTTTTGTCGCTGATGTAAATTCCACAGAATTAGAGAACACTGCTGGGAGGTGAATTCRTTTCATCAACTGTGGGCAATTGTTCAGACACCTGGGTCTAAGTTGGTTGTCCAGACTTTACAATTGAAGGAAAGAAACATGCATTAATGGCRTATTATTCTCTCACTATAATGCAAATTTCTAATCCAGAGTCTGATTTATCTGAAATGTAAGTACCTGTTTCTTTCCACTGCTTATARAGATTTATATATTTAAGATTTAGATGCCAAAAATAATAAAAATGTATCTATTATGATATAGCCATCATTTCTGAAAGGAAAAACTCGTGAAATTTCTAGTTTGTGTGCAATATTCAGAAATTTTTCTCTCGCTTCAAACTGGAATGGAGACAGGTTTCTGAATATTGTAGCTATTCAATAGCCAGAAATCACACAGAAATTGAAATGGCCTCAAGGAAAAATCTATCATTGTCATCAAAATTCTAGGAGCTGATTTTTTCCTTTTGGTTACAATTCCAATTGGATTGGAGGTCATGTATCTGCACAATCCATTTTACAGATTTTTAAGTGTAATAGCCAGAAATTAGAGGATATCCAGGAGAAAAAACAAACAAACAAACAAAAACTTTAGAAGTGGAGAAACTACGACACAGTAAGGAAATATATTTAGCCTTTCTAAAGAAAACTGAAAATAGATTTAACTCAGTTTATAAATACTATCAGAAAGGAAAGAAAAAAAATACTGCATTTTTTTATTTCAGTAAAAGGGAGCTTTTAATTTAGCACAAGAAGACACGACAAAAATCAAAGAGTAGATGTCAGATAAACGCAGATGAGAAATTAGGCCTACATTCTCACAGGCATAGGTGTGAACCATTGAAACAAAACATTAAGGAAAGCAGAGGCATCTTCTCTATCTACGGACAAGATTTTAGTTATTTTCTAGTTAGGCATAGGCTGTGTATTGAATGAATCYTTTTTTTTTATAGGACAGTGGTGAAATACAGTGGCTTAGCAAAACAAAGGATTCAGAAGAGATATGAGCTAGAACAGACATACACTGAAAAGTGAAGTTCAACATGAAAATACCTACACTGGCAGAATCCTTTTTGAGTGTTAGTGCTATGGGTCTATGAGGTGTTGATTTGCCTTATATTTGCCTTCTATATTGTTAGATATGTGATTATTTCATACAATAAATCTACTCCAGTTAGAAATGAAAGCATGGTTCCATGTCCCAATGTCTCTGATTGCGAAGACATTTTCAAAGGAGTCATTCTATTTCTATTCCCTATATCTGTCAGATCTCCTTTCCTGTCCACTCTATCTGGACAGGAATCCTTCCTGTGGATCTATATAGTAAAACAGTTTACCAAAAAGTCCTTGCTTTAAAATATCCCTCCTAAACAAAATTGGAGGGAACTTGATTTACATCAGTGAGTCAAGTATCAGGAAAATGTCATATTTCTGTCATATTTGAAGCCTGAGATGTTGGAAGCTTCAATCATCAGCATGTAACAAGATGCATTTCTTGATTACTCTTGAACTTTCCATTCACTTATCACCTCTGTATTGAGATAAATGGAATCACTAGATTTAACCTTTGTTTTAATTTTATTTGTATGAAACTAAGCATTTATTACTCAGATTAGAGTGAGGGGATTTATTTATTTTTCTTTAGCTATTGAAATGCTATTACTCATGAGTAATGTTAAAAGCAAGCTTTGGAGAGCTAACGGGCTTAACGGATTAAAATAAAGTACTCCAAGTGGAGAAAAGCTTTGTACGGAAAAGAATAATTCTCTAGAAAAGTATATTGCAAGGTCAAATGTAGCCACTTGAAACTGATCTATTTCTGTAAAGCAGTTAAATATTTCACAAGTTATGTTGATTAGAGAATCAGTAATATCTATATAATTTATCAAGATAGTTTTGAAGATCAAAGCTTGTCCTTGAGCAACAGTGGGTGTAGTGCTCCCCTTCCTCACCACAGCACACAGCCACAGCCCCCGGCTACCAAGATATCACATCTAGCTGAAGCCTGTGTGTGCCATAATTTAATATAACTCACTGTGAAATCAGGGAGACTACTCAGTTGAGCTCAACAGGAGGCAGAGTGACCAAAACAGATGGGAAAGGTATTAATCTATTCCTTTTTCCCATCCTAAGTAGCTTTTCTTCCTCYATAGCATAGTAGTCTGTATGTAGTAGCAACATGCTCATACTGAAATAAAAAATCATGGACAATATTTGCTGATTTTTTTTTTCATTTTCCACTAGCAAACCTACTACAGAGGTTATGTGGCCATTTTTGTTGTTTTATAGCCAGCTATGAGTGCATGCATAGAAAATCCTGTTAATACAGGAACTGAAAAATACCTTATTTTCCTGCTTACATTGGTTTAGGAATATTGTGCTCTCTGTGTGTTTTATGAGCAAAGAATTGAAAAGACAATGAATTAACAATCAAAGAAAGTATCTATGCAGATCGTATCTGTCTCAGATATAAAACTTGATTTCACTAACACTTTTCTTGAGGTACATTATTAGTAGCAATCAGTGAGATGAACAGCATCAAAAAGAAAAAAAAGGAGGCAAATTTGTTGTCTTTTATCATCATACTTGGGAACAAAAAAAAAAAAGGCCCAGAAAGTATTCTGAAAATGATGTGACTTCTAACATTTTAGATCAGTAGAGAAGACTGAAAAGGAACATAGTTTTCTAGACTCTAAAGAGGAAGGGAATAATGTGTACCCCAGAGTCATGGTGGATAAGACAAAATGGAGTGGGTTTGTTCAGCTGAATGAAAGATTCAGGTCAAATTTGAGGGGAAAAGGCCTTTTTGATAAGCATGATGATGGTGATTGAACAAGAACACTTGGAGAGACTGTGGAATAGCTAGAGTTGCTAGTTTCAGAGGTTTTTAAAAGTAGGTTTTTCACGTCTTCAAAAAAAAAAAAGTCTTAAAATAGGTTTACTTGCCAGGAAAGACATAGCTTCAGTGGTTCCTGTCTTAGGACAGAAAAATGGACAGAGATTTCAAGGTGGTTTCTCTAATTACCAGGGCACTAAGGGTTCATATCGGTTTACTGGAAAAGTATGCTCTCTGTCACACAAATTACAAAATCACCTTAACTCTCAATAGTTCCCCCACYTGAAGTTCAGCATAGAAAAAAAGGTTTCTGATCTGTTTTTAATTTGCAAGTCCCAAAATGTATACAGGTATACAGTATTCTCATACAAGGCAGACCTAAAGTGCCTGCTTAAATTCATTCCTATTCAGGAAAATATCCAAGTAGGATTGAAYCTCAAAACTGAAGATCTGAAACATGATCAATAATGCCAAATACAATCTTTTTTTTTCAGTTAATCACATCATACTATAGTGTTTTCTCATTTTAAAAATACATATATCATACAGGCTACCCTTCCTAGCTATGAGATTCTTGCCATCTGCTGGCAGATGTTTTATGTTTTTGTTTGAAAATGAACAAATTAAGTTAATCAAAAATACACAAAAAAGTTAAAACTGTATCAGCCACCAAACTGTACTAAAGGCAAATATTGGGAATTAATGTTGCAGATCAAAAATACAAATTTAACCATTATTAGGATTGAAGCACTTCTTAATGCAAGATTAAGTACCTATCTTGTGCTAACAAAAGCATCATTATAATATATAATCTACCTACTAGAAGATATTTTGCAGACTATGAACCAGTAGTAAAATTCATTTTTCATCTATAAATGAAAAACAGTCATTCAGTTCCACACAAGTAATATTCAATAGAAGGGATAGCCTTGCTCAAATTGTACTTTTATGCAGCAGCCATCAAACGAGAATGTATCCAGTTGATAAGGAAACCATGAGTTATATAAAACCATAAACTTATATAACAAGAATGTCGGTTTCTAGGAATGGGCTGTATTTGCAGTAAAATCATCTTTTTTTAAAAAAGTGCTTGCCAATGTTTTACTTTATCAACATTTAAGTGTAATTCACATACCTGGTTTTAATGTTTTGATTGCCACAGGGGTGGTATTATTCCACAGTCCTTCCCATACCTCACCAAACTGACCGGATCCTAATTTTTTTAAGAATTTCAGAGATTTTCGGTCTATCTCCCACTGATCCACAGTTTTATAAGACAAATCAAAAGTTGAAGGAATTTGTACCTGATATAAGGCAAGAAATAATACAGTAATTTAGATTTCTAATATTTTTACAGCAGAATATTGTTAATTATATCACAAAGTTGCAACTGATATGAATAATATTTTTTGAAATCATAGCTATATGATAAAGTGTGTTGGATACAGGAAGTATAGCACACATAAGGAGTATTTTCTGTTGCTGCATTATTATTAACTCAAAAAAAAAATTGCCATTAAAAAAATAGAAATCATCCCTCCAGCAAACTCTTCAACAATGACATATTTCTTGCCTGAACCCAGTGGTTTTGTCTCAGTAATTACTTATAGACAGCTAGAATTATGAAGTTGGTGATTTCATCTCGATATCCATTTACAAAAAGGTATTCATAAATCATGATTTGGCATATTTTTTCCTCCAGTCACATGATGATTTGTGCAAAATGGCATGGTATTTTATTACTAACATGTCAACTTCAAGAGTGAAACTGTAATGCTATCCATGACTTTCTGAAAGCAACCAYGTTAAGCACCATTTTGAAATGGCAGAAACAGTTATGGGGCTAACACGTTATAACAAATATCTGAAGAATTACCTTATAAAAAATATATGTACAACATAGCATCCACTCTTACCTTTAGACATGGTTTTCCAAGTGTCACACAGAGGCCATCACTGTTCTTACTGTAATAGTCAACAAACTCATTTAGAGTTTTAAAAGTTTTCCGTCTGCTTAGGAAAAATCCTCCTTCATCCAGCCTTTTGATCCTGTAGTGCTTCACAGATTCACCATCAAAAACTAAAATGATTTAAACATATTAAGTTTCTAGGTCTTAGAGCAGTATTACTCTATAGACAGCAGTTTCAAACCAGCTTAAACAATATTATGCACCTATGTTTTTAAAAATAGAATTTAAAGACCTAAAATAAATTAGTTGAGTTGCAAACATAGCAGTTACACAAAGTCTCTTTCAAACTGAAGCTCACTTTTTAGATAGTTTAACATACCTATTCTACTAGTTTTTAAACATTCAAGTCTGGAGATTCTTGCACTATGAAACTTGATACAAAAATTTCCATCTTTTAGGACACCAAAATCAAGCATAATCATCTCAAAAGAAACATTTAATATTTTATAATTTTAATATTTTAATACTTTATTTTAAAAATATTTTTAATCATTATTTTAATTTTTTTGTTAATATTTATCAATATTATCATCCCATATAACAGCTTCTGGAAGCATTTTAGAGCAAACAAATATACACACCATATGGCCATGATTTTCTGATTTGAACACTCACATCTTCCATAGATTTTGTACTTGGAATGTGTAAATATCAAGCCAATAATGCTCTATTTTAAGTAGTTGATGACTCTTTTCCAACCAAATGTCTTTTATCTATTTTTTCTTAATCAACAAGATATTTATCTCCTTGCTTCCTCTAAGTTATTTAGGTGCATGCCAAAACACCCAGAGTGCCCTTGTCTCTGACCTTCACAGCACTCTTTGGTGGGGTCAGAGAGTAGGCTGGGCCTCTCTTTGCTGGGGAGGAATAGCAGCAGACCCAAAATGGCGAAAAATGCACTGTTGCTCACTTTGTTCACTATTTAGGGAGGAAAAGCCCTGTAAGTGCCATTTCTTGCTGGGTTGTCATATATGTCTTAGAGAACTCCTGTACAAAGGAACATCAGAAGGAGCAATGGCTATAATATCTGAGTGGCAGCAGGGAAAAGCCACTCTAAAGAGTTAGAAAGAAGCCTAGTCTCACACATGGGGCAACAGTTAATGTGTCACTCTATTACTGTGACCATCACTCTCCATTTCCAATAAGCAGTGGAGAGCTTGTGTTACATCCTGAAGGATAACTGGTTCAACTCCCATCAACACAACAGTTGGGAGTCCTAATACTGACAGAGTTCTGTAATAAACATTACTTCCTAATGAGGAATCCTGACTGTACAGAGCATTACTCAAGATGGAAGAGGTTTAAGCAGAAGGATATTTTTTCTACAGCTCAAATAAGAAGACATATGCATCTGGGGAAGRAGGTTTCTGATCCTGCAAGTTCCACGTGGAAAATACCCAGAGCTCAAGGAGCAATACCAAGCTGTAATGAGATGAAGGAAGAGAGAGTATTTAAAAGCTGGCATTTTTTTTCCACCTTCACCTGTTAGGGCAGGTGTTGGAGAAAGGTGAAAACACATAGGTAGGCTGCAAGATTTGAGAGGTCGGTGGGAGAATTGGACTGGAAAGGAGAATGAGAATCATCTAGTGAGAMGTTTGGGAAATGGCCAGAAAAAAACAGTAGATAAATAACAAAAAGTGAAAGATTAATTGAAAGAGAAGGTAATGGCAATAAGTAGCAGACAGGGGGAAAAAMCAAAATTTTATTACAGCCTGCCATTTCCTGAAAAGACACTGTTGTTCCACAGTGAATGGGGAGAGGACTGCAAAGGGAGGAGGAGGAGGAAATTCCASTTACTATCCTGTTGCTGGTTGTGCACCTCACACCTCCCCAGGGTGGGCCAGGTGTGTCCTTCCCCKTATGTATTTAGGAGATCACAGGTCCAAGCTCCTTCTCAGAGCTCACACAGAGTACTGAATAGAAAAGCAGAAGGGAGCCATAGGGAAGAAGAGGCCTCGTGTTGTTTACATCCATTATATTTTTTGGTAACCAAAATTAGAGGAAACAATTAACTCATGTTATTAGTGGCTACTCTTGCTTACATAATCAGTTTAATATCAATGTGTTTCAGTCCTACTAGCAAAATCAGTCTGTCACTCATATATGGGAGGAAAGGGCCAAGCTCTTCTCAGTGGTGGACAGTGACAGGACAAGGGGCAATGGGTGTAAGTTGAAACACAGGCAGTTCCATCTCCATGTGAGGAGGAACTTCTTTCCTGTGAGGATGACAGAGCCCTGGCACAGGCTGCCCAGGGAGGCTGTGGAGTCTCCTTCTCTGGAGATCTTCCAAACCCGCCTGGATGCCGCCCTGTGCCCCATGCTCTGGGTGTCCCTACTGGAGCAGGGGGTTGGACTAGATGATCTCTAGAGGTCCCTGCCAACCTYAASCATTCTGTGATTCTGTGATATGAAAATCCAGTCGTTGGCAAGTTTATTACTGTTCTCCCTTGGAGTTATCCCTGCTGAAATATCCTTGACGTTGCAGCCTTCACTTTGCRCACTACCTACACAGAATGTGTGTTTAGCTTTTACACATTATTCTAAAAGCTCAGGAATATGTGCCMTAGGTCTTGAGTTAACTATAGAAAGTAAATGTGCAATCATTTTAGACATGATATGAACAGAGGAATTCAGAGATCCATATGTGTGTTCCATGATGTTAAGAAATTAGTTATTACATGTACAGTATAACCTCTCTCACCCTTACCTGAATAAATTCAAATGAGTGTCTTCCTTCCTTTAGCACTGAAGTGTCTGATSAGATGTTTCCTACTACCCTGTGTGATTGTCACCCCCGATCACTAGAGGGCATATAGGAGTTGTTGTAAACCTGAAGCAGGTTACCTAACTGCCTCATGACATATTTTTAGGGAGATGAGTTATAAAAAAAAAAAAAAAAAAGTAAATGTTTGTGATGCCTGATTTGGAGCAAGGACAATGGCAAATGACTTGAACGGTAATTCAGCAATAACACACAATGAAAATTCATTGGCTTTTGGCAAAGTTCTAAGTACATCTGGCCAGAAGAATTGTTATTTATGATTCGGCTAATAAATGGCCAGTAGGATGACTGTGTTAGCCTGGTCTCATCTATATAATCAAGAGTGATAGTAGCTTGAGTATCTGATTTATTTATTAGCAATATTATAATTATTATTTGTAAAATAGATTATGTAAGAGCTGGTTTGAAAGRTGTGCTCTAATTTCCTAAATAAGCTTTGTACAAAAGCCTATGGCTGGCAATATATAATATAGGTCAGATGACATCAGCACTGACTCCTGATCTTGTTTACTAAGTCTATGGGTAATGGTATCCTCAAAGTTTCTGGAGAGGTTCCAGTTTATACTATAATTTGCAGCTACCAAATGCTTTATCCTGGTTCGTGGTATTTTGCTGCTATTCAGGCCGTATTTTGCAATTTTGCATCAAGAGATGACTCACCACAGACTGTTTTTCATATCAAAATGAAATGAAACAGTGTTTGCAGACCAGCTGATCTAATCTGCTTATCACAGCCAAGCAGTGTGACTTGAGCAAGGAAATAATAAATGAAAAATGGTACTCTCTCTATAGCATTTACATCTCACCAGGCAGAACATTTCCTAAAATTGTTGAGGAAAATGATGTTTTAGCTACTGCATGATACTTTCATTAGCTTCTTATCCCTGTAAGATAACATTGCTGGTTTATGGTGCTTTTGTAGCTTTTTCTTCCTTCTGGATGAAGCTGCAGTGTGCATGGAAAACCCATAGATTTCTGCACAGATACAGTTTTTGCCTGTGATAAGCAGCTCAGGGGAGGATTAATTCAGTGTTTAATAAGGGACTTTTGATTTTCTGTTTTGGTGTTGTTTTGTTTTTTTGGGGGGGGAGTTGTTTTTTTTTTTCCTTTGTATCACCTTGCCATGTGAGAAGTTGGGTATAAGTCCTGCACTCTATAGATAGAGAGATAAAGCATAGTGCAACTCCTCCTCCCACACATGGCACAGAACGTGTCACTCTTGGAAGAGGTAGCTACAATTCCCTTTGGTCCTTCCAGTCATCCCTACATCCATTGGAGACAGTTAAATGAGACAGGACCGTGACCACAGCTCCACAAAACGTGACATGATTAGGGTCTAAAAACTGCAGTGTTTTTCTCCTTGACTTGCCATTCCCAAAACAATTGTAGTTGCCCATTAGGTTTCTTCCTGGGTTTGAATTAACAGAAGCATTCTGTTCTCCTTGCTTCCCATCTTTTTAAGACTAGGCCAGATTTTGTCCTCCAAACCYTCTCCTCCATACTTCCACTGCAACTCTGTGGTACCCCAATACTTCTTCCTCATGTGAGGATRAGCACAGATATGCATGTTAACAACAGGACCATGGCCAGCCTTCTGCCAGGAGTTGCACTTGGTCTCCATGTCCCAGTGGAAGCTGGGAGGAAAGCAGCTCATTAAGGTGCTCTCAGCAGCACAGAGCAGGTGCAGTACCTGCTCTTGCTCAGTGATTCCCTTGCTATGACTATGATTTTACCACTCCTATCAGTCTGCTGCCTTAATTGATTACCCACTTTTTCCAATGCCTAATGCCAATCTGTCTTAGAGAAAACCACACAATCTTTTTCAGGATCAGGAAAAAAAAAATGGGGGAAACACAAACCAGTTACATTGCTATTTAATGCAATCAGTCTTTCAGATACCGTTATTGGGAGAGGGAGGGAGCTGAGCACCTCCTGCTATCATTGGCAATGACACTCAATTAAGCTGAGCATATCTAAATTATGGCTTTTAATTAAAAAGAGGCAATGTCTAAGATGGCACCAACATGTTTAAAATTTAATACATTTTACACCAGATGCTGGAGTCATCAACATAAAAAGCCTTCTGCAACATGTGCATTTTTAAAATGGGAAAACCTATTCTTAAAATGTCAAACACTTTAAAATGATAGCAACACATCTCAAAGTCCTAGCTAAAGTTTTATGTGCTTTCCATTTAACCATTTACAGCAGAGAGAAACCTTTCTCAATATAACTTTTCATTTGCAATTTAAATAGTAATTTATCATCTAAATCATTAACAAAATGTGTGTTTTTTCCATCATACCAAGTTAAAAATTAAAGTTGTCCCTTTAATGAAAGGATAGGTTTATTTCCTCTTTTCTTCCCCTTAAAGAGCAACATTTGTCTCCCTCTCATTAACATTAAGTCTCTTATACATTGCCCATATGTATATGATATCAAGCTTGAAAGTCATAAAAAGTAGTTTATGAAAGCTTGGGTGGGTCAAAATCTTTCTTCATTTAATGGTCAAAATCTTTCTTCATTTAATTTTTTTTCCTTTTTAGTTTGATGATATTTAAATATTACGGTGGACAGAGACTTGCAATACTTTCAGAAATGCCTTAGTTATGAAAGCTAGATTACCACTCTTCTAGCCTTTATTATCATATGCTCTGGAGTAAAAACAAAAACAGCATAGCAAGTAGAAACTAAATCAGTCCTCCACAAGGCAGCTATTCTGTGGCCATTATTATGTTTACTTCATACACTTAAAAACCTGGAAACTGAAATTAAAAAGATATTCTGATAGATGAGGTGATGATTTTTCCCTCATCATATGCTACACAGATTGAAGCTATGCGAGATTCTTAAAAAGAAAATGATGGCATCACTGTCCTTCGAGAAAGAACAGTGCTTTGCTGACTAAGTTTTCAGTATCCCATAACTCCTAATGGAACAAAACTGACTTTTTCATAGCATTTAGTGAACTAAACAACCTTCCTTCCAATTAATTCTTGCCACACTACAATGCACTTCATCATCTGTTTTAGCAGGCACTCAATCTCCCTAAAGTGACACATACAACGTCTGGACCAATATGTATTACCATTAGGCTGGAAGCAAAGAGCCTGCACAATCTATGCAGATTCGATTTACTCAAGTCTGGTCAGTAGGAAGCAAATAATATTTAGCCTCCTAGGATGAAGCAGTGTGTCAAAGCTAAATTACATTCCAGTCTGGGAAGCTGCTAAAAGTTATAGCAGCAGTGGGGAATCATTTCATTAATGCCCACTGTCTCTACACTGTTTCACAACTTATTCTCATGCACAAAGAAGGATTGACTGCTATAGCCAGACTCTTTCCTCAGCTTATATGCTGTTGTTCAATGCTGTTCTGAAGAGAGCATTTGGGAAATCCTGGTGTAATTTCCTTATGAAAATGCATTAGTGAGAAGCAAGCTACTCTTTCCTTCATCAAACAAAGCTATGTCAACCATCCTGGAATAAACCCCCACTAATGATTTCATACATTGCCTGTTACCAGCAAGCACCAAAGCTGCTGTTCTTCTATAAGCTTATATGGAAAATTGCCCATGGCCTATTACAAACTTCTTTAATGAAATCTAATATATTAAAACAGATAGATTATGATTTCTATCCAGAATCTGGAAGGAAAAAAAATGAAACAGCAGCATTTAAGTATGATCTCATTCTACCATAAATGTAGAATAAGATCTATTTCCACTCTCTTGGATTTTTCACTGCAATACTTGATGTTGATAGTGAAGTATTGACACCTTCAGCTAGGAGATGTAGCCAACATGAAAGATAAGGAACCAAGATTTTTATTCTTCTGTAGCAGGTTGTAGTTAAAAAAAAAAAAAAAAAAACCTGCATATCCACTCATGAACATAGAAGTATAAGATTTTTCATTTACTGTTAGTAAGTTCCCATGTATTCAAAGCCAGCATTAGGCAGATAATACAGGCATATCTAACCTGCCCTGCATACTATCAAACTGTTACTAGTCTAGCCTACCTTGATAAAATCAGCTCACTGATGAAAAACAATTGAATGAAGCTGAAGCCATTTAAGACAAGCATAAATTAGTAGAGAGAGAGAGAAAACATTTTGAAAGTTGCAGCTTTAATACATTCTTTGGGTAAAAAGGTACACGTGCAGCTGTTCAGTTTTCATGGTTTGGGAACTATCTGATTCTTGGCTGATGGTTAGTGTTCATAGAAGTTCTTCTCAGTGAGCTTCCTTGAGGGAAGGCAAGGACTGTGGACTGGACTCTCCCAGAATTAAAAACATCATATTTATTTCATAAACATCACTGTATTTCACTACACAAGAAACCTATATTTGTCTTGGCAGTAAAAAACAATGTTCCCCTGCTATAACAAGACAGAGCTGGTATATACCCTTTCCTTGTGTTCCTGAAGGAGAAACTGAGCATGTGTCAAAAGTTCATTAATCTGCTTACTCATTTAGATGTTATGTTTAAAACATGTGTGACACATCATCCAGGCAGAAGAGGAGTCAATATGAAAGAATTTGGTTATGCATAAGTCACTACTCATTTCATGGGTGTAAATCTACATGTGACATCATAGTTTGTTCATAATCATCACGATTACAGAATTAAGGTATGTAGAGCTATCCTCATTCAATGCATTAGGACGTTTGTAAGCAAGGTCATCTGAAGGCTTCTTGCTGTATTTTGCCCCGTATTCTCCTATTCTCCCAGGGACAGCATACTCTTAACTCATATTAGAGGTTTGCTTAAAAAAAATAGCAACTATTGAAAATAGTTCCTATTTTGAGGCAACTAGAACACTGGAAGTAATAATGACAAAAAAGCTCATTTGTGTTCTGAGAATATTAATAAACACAAACTGTAAAATGAAAGTTAGCAGAGACCCAAAAAGTTCTTGTCAACTTGTCTTTTTGTATCTCCAGGGAAAGAAAGATTATTATGAATTTAAATTACATTTTCATGTTCAAAATCTATCACATTCAAAAATTAAAAAAACTGCAAATCAAATGAGAAATTTTTAAAACATTTAAAGAACTAAACCTGACAGATAAGATAAAGAGACTACCTGACAGTGAAAATTGGCCTTTAAGACTTTCACTTTCTCGGATTAGGAAAGCTCCTGCCTGGTTTCCAGGATATGACAGTTGTCTCTCTGCATCTGCTCGTTTGATTGGACCGAAAAACCACCTGAAAAATAATAATAAAAAATTAATTTTACCAATAAATAAAACATGATGGAAAGACAATTTGGCTTTTATAAACATACTGCAAATTTACAAAGACTGTGTTGATTAGCATTATAACAGTATATAAAAATCCCTTTAAGAACTACACATTTATTTTTGTGTACAAAAATATATACCACAAATGATTTCTAGAGAAATACAGTTCAAAAGTGGTTGAATGTCATTGCCTATCCTCCCTACTCCCAATAAATCACCAAAGAAATTTTGCTCTTGCTATTGTCACAAAAACAGATGCTCACYTGAATTACGCAGAGGTAAAAGTATGTGGTAACATTAAGACATCTTACAAGTCAAAGAGATCCAAAATAATAGCAGCCAGCTGATGCTTCAAGAGGCAAGTCAAGCTAGAATATTCTCCATTTCATTTTCATGTTGATATCTCATATGCCTTATTAGCAGTTTTTCAGCTCTTCTGCTGTTAGATGAGCAGAGCCAATTCTCCTTTCAAGTTACTGGCAACATTTGAGTATCTATGTCCTTTGAAAATCTACTCCTTTTAAAATATTTGCATAATTTTCCCTTTATTACTAACACATATATTTTAAGCTATAGTTTTAGCTTATTCATTTGAGCGTGTTATTTAGTGCTTTTGCTGCTCTATGTTCAGTATAAATTAAACTGAAATAAAAAAGAGGTGATTCAGCATTTTCAACTGGGATAGCATTCAGCTTCGGTCRTGCAAAGATATAAAGCTCTTTCCAAGATTAGCTTATCTGAAGTAAATGGTGATAAATAGTTATCAGAAATATGCCACCTACTCACAGGAGGGGTCCTTTTAAATTAATTCTAGATAAACCTAATATGCAAACTTTTACAATAAATCAATGTATCACATGACACAAGTTGCTTATTCAGCTAACTAATTTATTTGTCTATTACTAGTGAAAAGTACAGAAGGAGACAACAACAAATTACTTTAGTATCTGTAACGCTTACAGCCATCAGCAGGAATGAAGAAAATAAATTGAGAGTGTGGGGTGAAATGTTTAAAATAATATCCTGCTTGCATGAGGAAACACTAGGAATGAGTAATGTTTTCTTGTATGAACAAAGAGGAAACAAATAAAGGCAAACACAGATGGAGCTAACTGGCAATGAATATACTTTGATAACAATAGAAAATGAAACCCAGATATTCCAGACTACATTCCAAACTTCTGAGTTTAAGAAGATTTGGATAAAATGTACACAGACCATRATACATATTTGGCAAGGAAAGAGATCTGACAAGAAAGGTTATATGTGTAAAATTTCTGAAAGAATGGTAATTAAGCTTATAATAATTCATTAATTTGACTGTAGAAAGCAAGATAACCAACATGTGTTGAAATCCTTTGCTGAAGTTCTGATCAAAAAATGAAGAGACAGAGCATGAGCTAAACTTTCTCTAAAAACCAAAGGCAGCTTGTCAGCCCTCAAAAATAATTAGCTTTCTGAAATTTCAAAACATCCTAGCTCTGAGAGTAATACTGAAAACCATAAACTAATTTTAAAGAATTTAAATTGATATTTTTCTCTTTGAAGTATAAATATTCCTTTASTAATAGTCAGTCCAACTAGAATTTCTAACAGGAGTGTATGAGTGTTCAATTTCATATCTGCTTTCTCCACAAGTGAAAAGGAGAGCACCCTTTCAAAAGGATTTCGTTTTGCTCTGTGGTCAAAATAACTTCCAATGCAATGGAAGGCTGAATTCAAAAGGCTGAATTTTATGTTCAGGATAGTCACTTACATAGTTTTTTTATGGCCACAAARCATTTGGAGAGGAAAAATAAAAAGAGAGAGAAGAAGAAATAATTAAAAGAAAACCTGAAATAACACATGAAGTGCTATCCATTACATACTTAAATTACTTAACCAGTACTTTCTAGTATTATTTCAAGGTACTTTCATGGCACTAGAAAGTTCATGAGAATGTTGAATTATCAATTCATATACAGGTCCCCCCCTAGACTTCAGCCGGGAGCTAGATTGCTTTGTATCACAATTACATACAGAATATATGCATATCAACAGATAATCAAGTATGGCACTAATGGCACTAACTTATGCCTAGATGTGACATTTCAATTTTTAATAGGATATATTTGATTAGTAAGAGCACAACAATAGTCTTGTTCTGTCAGGGAGACTGCAGAACATGTTATCTAATATCTGAGTCAACATCGCTTCCAGCATTCCATTCTTTTTCCATTTCAGTGTAGGCTGACAGATAGGATCTTTTGGGGATTGCTTTCTGCCAGTTCCCTAGAAATAAACATTTCCACCATCCTTCATAGCTCCCAGAAAAACTTCATTAAAAATTCCAGGCTAGTCCATGCCAGTTCTGACCACCACATATTAGAGGTTCATCTTAATGTAGTTCTGAAACAACCACAATCCTTACAACCCTTGTTGCTGATGATGCTCAACATAATTTTGGTGGGATTTGTTGCAGTCGGTCAGGGATCCCACTTGTTCATTTCTTTACTATGAGTCTATTCCACTAGTAGTTGTTGGACCCACAAGATCTTCAACCTTTGTACATAATGTTCCCTGACTACGTCAGTATCAGTCCTGAGACCTGTACTGCCATCCTATAATCTTTTCCTTCTGGAAGAAGAAGTGATAGTCCTTCCGCAAGCAGAATTTTGGTGGATAATCTTAATAGGCAAATTATTTGGGAAAGGAAGACAATGATATTAGGGAAAGAAAAACAACTAAGATTTATTGCTTTGGGAAAGAAAAATGATAATATATGAAAGAAGGATCTCTATATACTTTTTTTTTTTTTTTGGTTATATCAGGAAGATATAAGTTTCAGGAGGAAACTTTAATATGGAAAGTTGAAGAGAAGAGTAACATAGGCCAAAGGTATTGTATTCTGAATAGCCACTGACAAAATCGTTAAAGTGATGAAAGATATGAAGACAAAGGTCCACAGTGCTACATCACTGGCAGAGCTTCCAGTATTTGGCAGTATCTCTTGAAACAATTAGCCCCATCAGGAAAACAAAAATTGGAAATATTCTCATAAAAAATGCATATCAGGTTCCCTTCTACTCTTTTTCCTCTCATTAATGTAATATGTCCTTCTGACCACTCACACTACTTCACAGAATCACAGAATCAGAAGAATGATCAGAATCATTTTCTACTTGAAGTAGAGACTGAAACTTTATCAGAGGATCTCAATTAAAATGGAAAGTTGTGTCTTTTTCCTAAAATTAACACTATCTGAAGCACAAGGCTAGACTTAAACATGGCCCCGATAAAAAAAACTTTTGGGAGCATTCTTCCAGTACCTGACCATTCTCTGGGTAGCCACTTTCCAGCCCCACTCACACTGGAATGCTAAGATTAGTCTTTCTCAAAACCTTAATCCTTTAATTTGCACTAACCAGAGGTGTAGTATCAGCTTTACCTAAGAACCCAGCCATAACCTGAATGCATAAAAAGTTTGTCAGAGGATGACTCTTTCTGCACATTCAGCTACTCCCTTGGAATGATTCTTTGGAGTCTTAGTCACATTTATTGGACCTCTAGGGTTTTTAATCTTCTTTATACTAAAAGTAATGCAATCCCTAACAGTAACTCCAGGCATGGGCTTCATCAGATCTCTGCTCCAGATCACTCATTTATTCACTTCTCTTCACTGCTCGTTTGTTACCTGTGCAGAAGACTATCACTGAAAATGTTGTGGAAGTTCACACTCTGTCATCCATTTTCATTAGAATTACAGAATCATAGAATGCTTAAGGTTGGAAGGGACCTCAGAGATCATCTGGTCCAACCCCTCTGCACACACAGGGTCACCTAGAGCACGTGGCACAGGGCTGCGTCCAAGCAGGTTTTAAAGATCTCCAGAGAAGGAGACTCCACAACCTTTCTGGGTAGCCTGTTCCAGGGTTCTGTCACCCTCACTGGCAAGAAATGTTTCCTTAAGTTCCTGTGGAACTTTTGGTGCCTCAGCTTGTGGCCGTTTCCTCTAGTCCTGTCGTTGGCCACCACTGAAAAGAGGCCACCCCCTCCTCCTCACTGCCTCCCTTGAGGTATTTATAGACACTGATCAGGTCCCCCCTCAGCCTTCTCTTCTCCAGGCTGAACAGGCCCAGCTCTCCCAGCCTTCGCTCATACGGCAGATGTTCCAGGCCCCTGATCGTCCTCGTAGCCCTACCCCCAAATGCCTCCTTCCAATTTCTTTTTCTTTCTTGTACTTCAGACATTTATTCCTTTATGCTACCCCCCCTTAGGAGTTACCAAATGACATCTTTCCACTTCTATCTTCCACCTTTACCTAGATTTCATATGCACAGAAGCAAAGCCAGAGCTGGCTGCACATCATCATATCCAAAATGACTGAATTTGTCTTAGTTATTAGCTCTGACTGGGAGGAGGGGGATATTTCATTTTTTTCATTCAACTTGCAGGATACAACTGGAGGTAAGATATGGCTGAAAGCTGAGGTCTGTGGAATAGTCTGATGTTCTGAATACCCAGCTCAAAGAGAAAATACTGAGGCCTGAGTAAGCAGAAAGGTATAGCTGCACATAGAAACTGTAATAATTAGAATAGAATTGGGAGTAGGAGGAAGAAAAGACTGCTAAGACTGACTATGGAATATGCAATGCAAGTGCGTTCAAAGAGTGTACAACAGAACAAGCATCAGGTAATCAGTCATATTGAAGTGACTTTCAAAAACCCTGAAGGTGGTAAAATGGGCAGCATTGACTCATCCTGGATGAGCACTTTGTAGCATGTAGGCATCTCCATTCTGATCTTGCTTAAGTGCTTGTAACTGGCATTTATTGGGATTTCATGGCAAAGTAAATCTCATAAGACTGATAAATCTTGCAGAAATCATGATTCTTGTGATAACTGTCCATTTCTCCATTATGGACAAAGCATTGATGATAAAGGGGTTAGTTTGCCCTCAGTAGTAAACGTGGAGTATATTAGCTC